ACACTGAAGGAAGGCCTTCTTTTTCTCATATATACTGGAAGCCTTCAAGAAGACAATGCAGTGAACATAGGTCTGTAGGCATATAAATGTAGTACAAGACTAATGACACTATTCATTTTTTTTTCCCCAGTATATAAGTGTAAGTTTCAATGTAAGTTTTCAGTATGTAAGTGCAAGTTGAGTTGATTTTGTGCTTGCCAATTGTATAGGTGAAGGAGAGATGGAAGGAGGCAGGAACTAAAATTAACTCAGAAAAACAGAAAAAAAAGCCCTAAAGGGGAAAGAGCCTCACCTTTCAGCTGTGGAAATTAATTCCCAGTGCATAGCTTGCTTTTTGCCTATTTGAAACTGTCTTCTGGGAAGTGACTTGGATTAGGTTAACATCAGCCTTAAGTTTGTGCTCTGCGTCTCTTGGTGGAATGAAGTTGCTGAGTGAAGAAGGAAGGATTCTACTGAACTGTAGTTTTCTTGCTACTTAGAAACCACAAAACTCTTTAAAAAATAAAGAAAAATCAGACAAATGTTCAATGTGTAACCTGAAAACGTCTAGAGTGTTGGTCACACACTGTGATGCTAAGGAAGAATTCCAGGAAAGTAATTATTCCTCTTTCTGAAACTCAGGCCAGGAATAATATACCCTTCAATATCAAGAAATGCTAGAGACACAAGGATATCACTGTATGCAGGAAGAAGAATATACCTTGGAAAAAATAATCTATTGTGTAGGCAGCTAAGACTGCAATAGGATGTGCCTTTTCTTAGTGCTTTATGGATGCCAAGAAAGAGCAGGCAATGGGAAAAGTGCAGTCTGTTCTGGACAGCCTTTACAAGTCACAGTGGGAGCTTTGATTTAAAGCTTAGAAGGTAGCACCAGCCCTCCAGATTGTGAGGCTAGTGATATCTGTCTTAAAATATTAAGTCTCCCTTCCCACGAAGTCAGCAATACAGCAGCTGTGGTCTTTCCAGAGCTGTCTTGCACCTGGTTGCTTGGGTCATGGGCAGAGTAGAGTCATTTTTCTCTATGTATGGTGAAATTTGGTGTAAAAAGTAAGCAAGCATCCTGCCCTTCATTAAATGACTGAGTAAGGGGAGTTGTGATCAATTCATGCAGCAATGTGAGCTGTTAGGCTCTGAGACACATTAGGGCTGCAAAAGTGTTTGAGATAGACACCCATCTGAGTTATCTGTCAGGATGCCTCCAATTCCAGAAATATAATTTCCTAGCAGCTTCACAGGTTCATGTGTCACTGCTGCTCCAGGTGACAAATCTGCAAATTGCCAGGTGGATGACTTGGAATTATCTGTGGGTGGGTGGTGGGAAGAACTGAATAAGAGGATAAGGACTGCACAGCAAAAAAAAAACCTAAAAAAAAAAATTATCCTCTTTTTAGCTTAACTACTCATCACTGTCTCTGTGAAGACAGTCTGGCCTTTTTGAGCCTTCCTGTTGTAATTTTTTATCACTTTATTGATATGTACAATATACCAATAGATAGTTGAGAGCTGATGAAGGAGAAAAGGAGCTTCTAAAAGAGACAAAAAAAAAAAGATAATCCAAGTGCCTGAAGTGTTTAATCTACAGCTGTACCTGTTGATTAGGAAGTTACACTTAAACTGTCTGACGTACTTGAGTTCTACATTACTGCTGGACATGGAGGCAGTATCAACTAGCTGCAAGTTTTATACTCCTCCTCATGGAAGGATGGCTATGAAAGAAGGAGCCATCAGTATGTGATACACCTGAGCCAGAAGAACTGAGAAGATTGAATTAAGCAGAACAGTATTTTTACACATCCTTGTTTGCCTCAAAAATGCTGCCCTCGATGCAGGAAAACATTGCCCTTTCATTTTTCATTGAAGAGGGACAATAAGAGGTTTGACTTTAGATCCTTCTGGGAAAAGTTGGTTATCTAAACAAACCCTCATTGTCTTTTCTATACAAAAAGGAAGGGATGTAATGGGAAGACACGTTTTTGTTTACATACATACCCGAATGTGTTCACTTCACTAGTAATTTTTTTGCCTTCCTCTGTTTCCTTCCCTTTCTTGGAAGGGTAAAAAGAAGTATAAATGCAAGTCTTGAACATTAAATTATGAAAATGTGCTAAAATGTTAAAAGGTGGCTCTTACATTTCTTATGGGACAGAGCACAGAAGTGTTGTGTTGTTGGTTTTTTTTGCAATTTATGAAAGAAGCAAAAGAAAACCTGGAGATTAATGAGGATATTCTTCCTACTACAGAAGGATATGGATATATGCAGACCACATTCTCTAGGTGTCTAGAATAACTGCATTTTGAAAGATGCAGAGCCTGGAAAGCTTATCTGCCTTGAGCTCTACAGTGAAGAGCAAGGAAAGCCACCTTACAAATCAATTTTTTGTACATAACCCCAGACTTGAATACATTACAATGTGGAATGTGTTCTCTGCTGTCAGTATATGAACAGAAGCCAGGAGTGGCTGCAGGTTCTTTCATGGTTAGGCCTGTGGAAAATACATGAAAGCACTCAGAAAACAGAGGCAATATGAATGGACTTCATAGAATCAGTCTTCCAAGGAAGAATCCTGATGGGTTGGTGTGCTTTTAGCAGGAAGCTATGAGCAGAAGTGTAAGAAAAACATATGCTCATAATCTAAAATGGGAACATTCCACTTCCACATTTAATCCCAGGGCATTCACTCAAGTATGGAATTACTAGAGAAATCTCACTTTACCTGTTCAGAATTTAATGGTGGAAGGAACCTTCTTATGCCTCATCTGTCTTAACATTCCCACCAAAATAAATTGATTGTGCAGAGGGTTTGCAGGATCAGGTCCCTAAAGGATAACTTTCCATCATTTAGGCTCAAAATATGGCTGAGGGTAGCTGCTGGAGTACATTCATTCATCATTACAGATTAGGATATTCAACTTCAATTCAATTGCCTTCTTGCACTGCTGAACATATAACCCTTATCTTTAAATAAAATCCAGACTTCAAAGTGCAGGACACAGAGTGACAGGTTATAGAGACTCATTTGCCACTAGAAGTTAGCACAACTTCAACATGTATTTTGAAATCAAAAGGTCCTAACTGGTTTAGAAGAAAATAGATTGGGCAGCTTTTGCTAAAAATACAAGTTTTGATTCTGCCTCAAAATATTTCTTCTCTGTGGTTCTAATCTGAATGTTGTCAATCCTAGGAGAAGTTATTACCCACACACACACCTAAACCTACCTCTCTGCCTCTAATATTTCAGACAAATGAAAACTGAAAAAAGGCATTTGGAGTAAGTATGGCTAACTTTTGTGTTCCTCATTTTGTTCAGATAAAATCTCCCTGAAAACACAGAGAAACAGCAATGACAGACAGTGATGTTGCAAAGAACATGACAGCATTTCTGTCCATGTAGAATTACCATTGCAGTAGGTTTTGGGTTTCTTTTGCAGGATTTTCCTTCTGAGGAGAAAAGGAGCTGCTCTTCAATCATGTCTATAATTCATTTTTTATCAAATCCTATGTGGAAGAGACAGACTTAAGAAAAAAAAATTTATCAGATCCTCTAGGAAAGAAAAAAAAGCAGAGTTTTGGTTTTAAGTACGTTTTAACTTCAATAATTTGTAACCATTTTTCATCCAAAGGGTACAGAAAAGCCATTGCAATTTAGTTTTTAATCTGTTTTGTTTGCTTAATAAGAGTTACTGAGAAAGTCTGTAAAAGATGTAATTTACTTTAACAGTGTAAAAGTAGTCTTGGAAAAAAAAATGAGGACTTTAAGAATTTAATGGTCAAAAGCTTGAAAAATACAAAATAGCTTTTTAGGGTGAAATGTAGTTGGCACTTTAGGAAAAAAATCAAAACCTTTTTTTTTGCTATATGTGACAATTATTCCATGTTTAATCCAAGTGTGACAATTGAGTTCCTGTAATGCACCCTTCAAGTCAAAAATGTTCAGTTTTGAACATTGAGCCATAAGCAAAGACTGCAATATTTAACTTTATGGAAGGAAGAAAAGATGTCCTTTGTTTATGGATTTTGAAAAATAACTTTGAGAAAAAATAAGAGTGCATGAAAGCACTTTTTAGTAAACTGCAATCCCAAGTCACATATTCCTAGTACTGTTGTGGAATCATTTTTATTCATGGCCTATCAACTATGATCTGCTACAATGCCACAAACAAGCAGGAGTCTTGTCCTGCTTAGAGTACTTTAGAAATCAAGGATAATCCTGTGTTTAACCAGTCATAAAAAAGAGACAGTTAAAAGCTTGAAAAACTGCAAAGTTCCACCTACAGGTCCCTCAGAGATAGGCAAGTATTTTATTCATATCAAAACATTAGCTTTCTTGTAACTCTGCCTTTTCACCTAAAGTTAAAACCAATATGTGTATATGTGACTAATTCCATGAATCCCAGACTTTTACAGAAAGGAACTTAGAGAGTAACTTCATGTTTTGATCCCACCAAAGACATTCCTTTCTGTCTTTGGGTGGTTTCTCTAACTAAAATAGACTGCAATGAAATATTTCCCCAAACCTATGGGACATAGTTCAAGGAAGTTTAAATACAAAGGAGTGGGTTTTTTCAGCTTTGGCTTATTTGCCAGTGTATGTTGTTCTGAGCCTCAGGGATATGGCAGCATTTTGAAGGAAGTATGGGAATGAAGAATAAAAATGACATATTTAACCTTTGCCTGAATTGTGTACAGCTTCTATGCCAAGAGAGAATAGTAAAGATTCTAATATACAATAGTTATTCATAAACATTGCTTACACTACAAATTCAGCTGAATTCAGTAGGAATCTTTTCCTTAAAATGAACAGCAGCAAGGAGAGAATTCTTCCCCGTTTTGTCTTTTTCAGGCAATTACATTTGAAAATTCTTCCTCAGGCTGTGTGATGGTGAGGGTTCAGGGGAACTTTGTGATTTGAGGTGACACTGACCACGTCCTTCACTTCTTCTGCACTTTCACCATCCATCCCTCCACAGTGTGAAGCAGTCTTCACCACCACAGGCAACATTTAAAGATAGAGGTATCCAACCCAGTAGACCAGGTTAAACAGCAGGAAGGATGTAGGAAAAAAGACCCTAGAGTAAGAGTCCAGTTCTAAGATGTCTATGTGAATCCGTCCTCTCCTCCATGAGCCTGATTTACACTCTTCATAACAACAGAAAAAGCTCTGGCAGTCTTTCCCATCCAGACATTCATAGACACATGCATCTTCAAATTCTTGCCAATACATGGCATTGTTCAATGTGATGACTGTCGTTGGTGGCCTCATATCAAGTACAGAATAATTCTGAGGAGAGAAAAAGAAACCAACACTTTGATGAGATTCCGTGGATGGTGCCGACCGGAATTACTAATCATGAGGAAAAATCACAGGAGCTGGGACTAAGCAGTTCATACTAGAGCAAGTCTAGATTGAGAGATTATCTCTCTGCTCCTCAAAAGATGAATTTCCATAGTGTGATTGTGGAGTGTAAAGGTAAATAATTCCAGGTACATTCTACTTGGGTAACTCAGGCATGGATTTCCCACTAATACTTTTTTTCACACTTAGGAGTTCACTTGCCTCCAGAATATTATTTGCAAGTTGCTTTAAATACTTGCAGTTTTCAGAATAGATTATGAAAAATAGGGGAGACATCCCTCTTCCCCACGTCACTATGGAACCTTTTCCATCTAGTGTAGTGGCATTCACTGCCTCTTTACCTCTAAAAACAGATACGGTCAGCAACAGATATTGAGGATTTCAAAATGCCATCCCTAGACAAGTCCTCTTGATACTCCTCACACTAACTGTTCTCAGAAACAGACCCCCTGGATAACATGTATCCCCACAATTCCACTCATGCCTACAAACGTCTCCTTCCTCAGTGCACTCCCTGTTTACACTTTGTCAGCTTTTCTGTCATGACTTTTCCTTTTCATGAAACGTGCTTTTCTCACAAGAGTCTCCTCTACCACCAAGCCACCCATTCTGTCCTCACAAATGTCACCTCCTCTGTTAGTATCACTGGAAAAGTCCCATCAGCTGCACTGCCCGTGTCTGCACCACCCTTGCAAAGCGGCGACGCTCCAGCCCTGTCAGGACTGTTGTTTCCACCTCGGGGGAACTTCTTCTCCCCGTGGTTGTGCTGAGCATTGCCTTTGCCTGCAGGATGGTGCTGGGGGTGTGCTAACAAGCTAGGCATGGTACCTGCTTGCATTCTGGAGTGTGCTCTGGGCCCCCTGCTTCCACACTCCCTGTGCAAAATGCACAACGTTTCCGGTGGGAGGTGTTGGGGCTCACCTGGAAACATTCACTCTGGAGGTGAAACACATCAGTGATATGACTGATGTGCCTCAGAGGAAAATTTCCTTTTTCTGCTGGCTTTGTAATGATAATATTGCCCATCTCATTAAAAATGCTAGTTCCTGAGCTAAGAACTTGATGTGGCATCCCTCTGTGTGGATATTGGCATCCTCAGCATAGGTAACTACACCTGAGCAGCTGCCCAGTGGCACCCAGCAAATCACCTCTAGGACATAATTCATCTCATTCTAAGTAGATGGTTAAAATCAGGTGCTTGTGCTGTGGGCTGGGAACAGGCTGTGGTTTAGAAGCAGACTCTTGCAAATCTGTTTGTTTTGAAAAGACACTAACTCTGAGGTTAGATGACACAAATTGTGCCTACATGGTCTTCTCTGTCATTTATACAGTTCCAGGTGACCAGTCCCGGTGACTTTCACCTTTTACAATGTGTTGCCACACAGAGAAGGTCTAAGATTATTGTGCAAGTTATCTTCTTGTTTAAAGATAAAAGGCAAAAAAAAAGAAAAAAGCTATGACTAAAGTACACCTGGAATTCTGCTGTGTCACTTATTATTCATTCATTGCAGGCCTTTATTAAAACTTCCTACTCAGGGACTGAAATTTCTATGCCTGGCTACAAAATTGATGTTAAAAAGAAGAAAGGCATTCAACACTTACAGGGATGGGTTACTCATAACTTCCTTGGGCAACCTCTTCCAGCATTTCACCACCCTCACAGTAAAGAATTTCTTCCTAATATCTAATCTAAATCTGTTTCAGCTTGAAACCATTCCCCCTCGTCCTATTGCTGTGTGCCCTTGTAAAAAGTCCCTCTCCAGCTTTTTTGCATGCCCCCTTCAGATTCTGGAAGAGCCTTCTCTTCTCCAGGCTGAACAGCCCCAACTCCCTCAGCCCGCCTTCATAGCAGAGGTGCTCCAGCCCTCTGATTGTCTTTGTGGCCCTCCTCTGGACTTGCTCCAACAGCTCCATGTCCTTCCTGTGTTGGGGGCTCCAGAACTGGACACAGCACTCTAGGTGGGGTCTCACAAGAGTGGAGCAGAGGGGGAGAATCACCTCCCTGGCCCTGCTGGCCACACTTCTTGTGATGTAGCCCAGGGCATGTTTGGCTTTCTGGGCTGCAAGTGCACATTGCTGGCTCATACTCAGCCTCACATCAGCCAACACTGATGTCCTTCTCCTCAGGCTGTTCTCAATCCATTGCCTGCCCAACCTGTATTTGTGCTTGGGATTGCCCCAACGTGGGTGCTGGACCTTGCACTTGGCCTTTTTGAACTTCATGAGGTTGGCATGGGCCCACCTCTCAAGCCTGGCAGGGAGCTACCGGTTGTAAATTATAAACTTCAGCATAAACTTATTAATGATGAATAAATAATAAATCCTGTCAATTATAAACTTTAGCATATCCAAACCAAGAACAGTAATAGCAATGGTTCAGTTCTGTCACTTTTTCTTACTTGCATCTGATAGCTGGGAAGCAGGCCAGCCAACCTGCTGATTAACCGGCACTCTGAATGTTTTATATCTATACATATGATAGTATGTATTTCAGTTTCAGATTTAATGCAATGTAGAGACACAATTTTGTGCTGTTTTGACTATATTACAGCTGTATGTATAAAAATAGTTGTATGGGGAATAGAATTTATAGATACAGTACACCTAACTATGTGAGACTTCTGTGCCTAACTTATTTGAAAACCCACCCTAAAGCTTGCTAAAGATTTTACAGATATGCATAAGTGAATTATTTTCTATGAAACTCAGTTAAAACTCCATAGAAGTTTATGATATAACTTGTGTTTGTTAACTTTTAAAAAAATGTATTGAGAAATTGCAGTATTATGTGAAGCAGACACACAACATTTCTGAGGTAAAAATAACAAACAATATTCTGCACCTGACCCTCCTCCCTCTCCAAAATAATTTGAAAGGTCCCTATAGAAAGAGGCAGCTATGTTTCTTGGCCACAGCTAAGGACAAAATGACCTTTCAACAAAAAAGCAGAACAATTTTTATAGTGAACTCAGGGTAAAGCAGAACATCACATGACAGCTTTGTCAGGAATTATTCCAAGTAAATGTCAACCACATATTCATACCTCTTTTGTTCTCACTGAATAAAATTGTCTACTTACCATCACATGACCAAAACTGACATCAGGTAGCTTAAATAAAGATAACAAAAGAATATTCAGAAGAAAACATACTTATTGCTTTATAGGCATCTACTTTTCAATATAATTTCGTAAACTAAACATTTGAATGCATTTGTCCATAAAACACTTCCTCCTGAGTGTTCTATATGTTCAGCATAACATTCTGTACACTTTAAAACTGCATGAAACCTCAGCAGAAAGCACACCTAGTTTCCATCCACTTTAAGCCTTCATTCAACCCGTTACATTTATTTATTTAGCACACAGTAGATAAGTGAGCATTTATTCTTGCCACAATTGAATCTCATCAAGGTTGCATGCTTTCCATAATCTACATTCACCTGTCTGGAAATGCATCCTACTCACCAAGATACTCATTACTTTTCCATTCTGCCTTTCTGCAGGATGACAATTTTTGTCTGATCAGTAGCAAGCTCAGTTTTATTGTCTTGTGCATTTATTTTGTTTAACACTCTTGCTTTTTGAGTGTAATGCATTTTTACAAGAAGCTATTAGAGGTTTAATGGAGTTTTCATTGACCAAGTCTATGGCTTTCTAGGCTCTCTCTCTAATTCCATACTCTTTCCAGCTTCTCCTTCATTATTTCTTCATTCAATCATTTGTTATAGCTCTCCATTCAGTTGTGACCTATTATTCCTTGAATTTAGCCTTCCCTCTCTTTGGTTTCCTCCTTCACATTTTTACTAGTTGGCTTTGTATTTCTGTCTTCAAATGGCCATATTCCCTCAATGACATAAAATGGCATCCAACATCTCCAGCTACTGATCTCAAATTCACCAGCTTTTCCACTGATCCAAAGTGAACAACCCACTTGCACTTCCCTGTATTTACACTGAGATTTTTTTCTCTGTTACATGGCCCCTTGTTGTTCCTGTAGTCAGTTAGGAAATAGGCCAGGCAATGCTTCCTGAATGACTGTTTTCATTGATTCTAAATAAACAGCTTTTGTGTATGTCTGGGTATTACTTCTGGAAGTGCCTTTTTGGCCAAAAATGCAGCCATATAGAAAAACCTTTTGTACTCAGGAAAGAGCTCCCTTGGGAATAGTGCTGAAACCAAGTGATATTCCCAGTGGAGACATTGAAATGCCTTTGGTAAAATTCATCAATATTTCTAGACCTGCTAAGCCATGAAATAGCAGATGCATCTGAATACACATTAAAGTGCATATATTTGTATAACCAGCTATGCAACCTGTTTCACTGGGAGTCCCTTACGACTACCAGCACAGCAGCTGGAGAACAAAAGTCACATAGGCAGGGTTATTAAGTCACATAGGCAGGGTTGCTGCTTCATGGTCAGCAGGCTGACCACGTTAGGAACATATCTCACTCAACAAGTACGTAACTGCTTCTGCTGTTACTGTGGGTCATTTTTCCCATCAGCTTTCAGGGCAGATCACCCCACAAGCTGGGAAGAGCTTGGAGGAGTGGTGTATCCTGGGATGACAGACTGTCACCGAATGATCCTCTGCTCTCTGAGCCAAACACATGCTGGGAAAGAAATTAAATTCTCCCATCTTACCGACTTTTTCTTCTTAGTACAGTTTGGTTTCCTGCAACTGGAGTAGTAGTTGAGGGTTGCATACTCCATCAGAGCAGCAAAGACAAACAGGAAACAGACAGTCACAAACAAATCCATAGCAGTGATGTAGGAGACACGGGGTAATGACTTCCTTGCAATGGTACTCAGGGTTGTCATGGTCAACACTGTAGTGATGCCTGCAGAGAGAGACTTGATTTAATTGCATGCAATGTGATTTCTCCGTGTTGCAGAAGAACCTTGGGAGAAAAAAAGAAGCACAAAACAGAAATCCAAAGTGTACCCAAATCATTGATTAATTTCATTTTGTAGTTTAAAAAATCATGGAAGATTGTATCAGTAGAGCCAGTGGTATTACCTAACCAAAGATTTCCTCAGCTATATCTATATCTATATCTATATCTATATCTATATCTATATCTATATCTATATCTATATCTATATCTATATCTATATCTATATCTATATCTATATCTATATCTATATCTATATCTATATCTATATCTACATCATCTATATCTGTATCTATTAATCCTTGCAAAGGTGATATTTGCATGCCTCTCAATATGCTTTTCTTAATTTCTTCCTTTTTTTTTTTTGGTCCCAGTCATGTTGGAGATGGGCGTGAGTGTCAAGGAGGAAATGAATTCATTTTTGTAGGAAACTATAAAGCAGAAAAGGTACTAAATCCAGAAAAATAAAAAATAAGAAACCTAGAGAATGATGAAGGTCTTTTTCACAGTGGTACTGCTCTGATGAAAAAAACTTGTGCTCAAAAAAGAAAAAAAAAATGGGGTGGGGATTAGGGGAAGAGAAAAGAGAAGAAATTTTGCAACAAAGTCCTGGCCATGAATTTTGAAAAGATGTTTTCACACTGCTGCTTCTTTGGAAGTCTTCCACCACTGTTTTCTTTCTGACTAAGGGAAAATAGACTCTCATACAAACTTCAGATGTAACCTTAATGGAAACAGGCTTTTTAATTTATACAAAGCATTACATCTTAAATTTGATTTAGTAATCATGAATATAATGAGAATCAGTTAATGGAAAACATCTTGAAACAATAAAACCAATCCTAGAAAGAATTTTATGGAGTGTCAGTTATTTGGCTTCTGGTAATTCACAGAATTTCTCTTCATTTCTGAGAGTGAATTCTTTCATTCCCACTTTGGACTGATGCTTTCAATCATTTGTTATGAACCTCAAGCCTTCTGAAAGAAAAAATAGAGAGAAAAATAGAGCTCTCTCTCTCAAATAAGCCTCAAGAGAGAATATGCTCTAAAAAACCCCATAACCATAAGGTAAAATTTCTTTTTATAGTTAAAGTGATATTCTGCAATAGTACACAGTGTTTGAAATGGCAGGGGATGACTGAAATTCCGCCTTATAGTAAAATTTCTTCCCAAAAATGGCACTCTGGAGAGAAAGAAGTATCTGGGGATTACTTTTGAATACTTCCTGGTTAGGAAGGAATGGCCACCTTTGATTTGTAGCATTTGATAGAAACCATAGAAATTCACAAGAATGACCCTCCTGGTTGAAACTGTCAGAAAGCTCCTGGAACAGCCAGAAGGCAGATTATTGCTTGGGCTTCAACCTTCTTGTACAAGGAACAATAACTAAATGCAACCACATCCCTGTGAGGATGAAATCAAACAGAGGTGGTAGGAGACCTGCAGAGATGAATAACCATCTTCTGAAAAGAAGATTTAAATGGAAGAAGGAAATGTATAGAAAACAGGACTGGCTACTTGGGAAGAATACAGGAATGCAGTCAGAAAATGCAGGGATGCAATGAGGAAAGCTAAGGCCCATTTGGAATTAAACCTGGTGAGGGCTATCAAGGACAACAGGAAGGGTTTATTTCAGTACATCAACAAAGAAAGGAAGATTAGGGGAAATGTAGGCCTGCTGATGAATGAGATGGGTGCCCCTGTGGCTGAAGACACAGAGGAGGCCTTATCCGAACATTTTCTTTGCTTCAGTCTTCACTGCTAAAGCTGACCCTCCTGAATCCTGGACCCTGGAGGTAAGATAAAAGGTCTGGAGAGAGGAAGACTCTCCCTCGGTAGAGGAGGACCAGTTTAGAGGCCAGTTAGCCAAACTGGACATCCAGAAACCCATGGGGACTGATGGGATGCGTCCACAAGTTCTGAGAAAGCTGGCAGATGTTATTGCTAGGCCACTCCACATCATCTTTGAGAGGTCATGGAGAACACGAGAGGTGCCTGAGGATTGGAGGAGGGCTACCAGGAAAATATTTCTATTTACTGTCAACTGTGCCACATCCCACTATAAGCAGAGGTGGCTGACATGATCCAATAAACTCTGTGGACCTGTCAGAAGCAGTACTGTAAATAGCTGATGCATTGAAAAAGCTCCAGAAACAAACCCATCCTCAGCCATTCATCACAGTAGTCAACAGCAAAGATGTCCAGCTGCAGAAGCTATTGACTCACTAGCCATGATCTGGCCCTTACTTTCTGTCTGTTAATTCAACTTCCTGTGTGACCATGACTCAGACCTTGGGAGTCACTGACTTCAGAAGAATTGCATTCAGACTATGAAATACTCTACTATATGAAATAAAGTCCTTTAACACTTGCTAACCTACATTTAGGTTTCAAACACAAATGTGTCCTTTTCAAAGCCACATCTGCAGGTACCTTGCTACCTCTAAAAAACTTCTTAAAACCAGTAGTCTTCTTCAAGTGCAATATTCAGTGTCCTTTTTACCTGGACTCAAAGGTGAGTTTTTGTTTCCCACTTATCCTGTGATAAGAACTCAGATTACTTTACGACACTTTTTTAATTACAAGGCAAAAAAAAAAAGAGGAATTAAAGAAGAAAAAAAAGCTCTCAGTGCTCCAAACCATTTTTTACAAAGGTCTGTGATGCTTCTACTGAATGCTGTATTGGCAATACACTATTTTTCTTCTATTTTTTGCTGAAGTGGATGCATCATTTTGTATTATTTGTGACAAGAAGCATTGTGTAGGTATCTGTAATGATCATCAGTTGCCAGAGGGATTATGGATAGGAAGGCAGAGAACTAAAACAAAAAATTACCATTAGCCCCTGTACTTAAGGATGGAAATCCTCAACTCAGCCCCATATCAGTGCCTTAAGCCTGAATGTGAAATGCCTACCTGAATCATACTTGAGACTGTGAAGACCCAGAAGCTCTAGATGAGAATTAAGCAAGAGCAGCCCAGTAAATCATGTTGTAAATGCCCCACTGAGACAGAATCTGTGAGGTTTGGGTGGCTGTGGAATAATTTTAGCTGATTGAAACAAAGTAGGTTCCGCTCAATATATAGACACAGCAATGGTTTGAGATTTATTGTGGTTTTAAGGTATTAAACAGTCTATCCTCAGTCTCTTTGACAACTAATCATATTTTGCCAGTGGAATAGAAAACCTTACAGGAAGTTTAGCATTATCACAAGCCATCATAGTTCTGGATTATATATCACACTTCAAATGGTGGCAAGGGCATGACAAGATTGCTGAACACATAGACAGAAACATCCAAAGGTAAAACAAACACATTTTTGCTACTATCATTTATGCAAAATATTTTATATTATATGAAATCCAATAGGAAAGCATTATTCTTAATTTGAGCTGAGGCTTGAACTTGGATCCCACCTCACACTGTAAGCAAGCAAGGAGCTTTTGAAAGAATAAATGTGTATCAATGTTACATGTGACACATAGGCACAAGTTTTGAAGCATTAAAATGAGTCTTATGGGAATACATACAGAGAGCAAAGAGAAAGGATGTGTGCCACATGGTACTGTTTTCTATTCCTATACATTTACAAGTCAGAATATGGAGATATGCTTATATGAATAAAATGCAGCACACATTATTTCCAAAGAGAATAAGATTCCATACTTAGCTCATTTTATCTCTCATGCTAAGCAAATCCACATTGTTGAGTGGTTTCAAATGCAATGTACCTTACCAGATGAAACTGTTAAGTCTCTCACTTTGGAAAGCCCATCTTGTAAAGTAAATTTTGCATTTGTTACCAAAATTCACAGTGCTCTTGAACTGTCTTTTTCAACAGAATTTTAATAGCCAAGGACAGCTCTGAAGTAACATAGCTTCAAATTTCTCAGGTAGGCAGGTGTAAGTGGGAGCTTACAAGTTTGTGTATACATTCTGCTTTGTGGCATTTATATTCTCTGAGCAAATTCTATACCAAAGATGCTCTTTGATAAATGAAAAAGGGTTGTCTAACAGATCAAATGATGCAGTGATACATATTGCATGAGAACACTTTAACCTTTAGACCATTGGCCTAAGCAGTTATTTAAAACTATTACTGTTTAAAAGCTCCTTACTGAAAAACAGTATGCAAAGTGAGGTAGCAGGAGCTTCAGTGTTAGGAACAGTTTGGTCAGTGAGGCTCATTTTTTCTTATTTTCCTGAGGGTGTGGGGCACTGGAGGAAGGGGGAGCTGCTTTTACTTATGCTAGCAGTTGGTTAGAAATTTAATTTTTCCACCTTGTGGTCTGGCACCTGTTATGATCACTTGCTTGTATGTTGAGTGAGTTTAAAAAGGAATGACAAAGAGAGCAATGTTCATTTTTTATTCAACACAAACAGTATCTTCTTTTACACCAACACATTGCTGGTCTTGATACCCACTGAATTTTTTTAAAATGCACTTTGAAGTTGCTCTGTAGTAACTGCCTTGTCCTATTGCATATTACACCCATTTTGATAAAGCAGGGGGAAACTGGGTTGAAAGCTTCAGTTTAACTTAATTCCCTTCACCTTCAAGAAAAACAACCTATTCTTTTCTGGATCATAACTTTTTCAGACCTTTGCTGGCTGCTCTTGACTGTGAGCATTGGGAGAAGATAATTTTGATTACTACAGACAAGCAAAGCCAACAAAGGGAGTTATTTTCTCTTGGAATGGAGGGCAGAATAACCTGGGATCACAAAACACAGTTCTCATCCAACACTCAAATTCTATTTCCAGTTTCCCATTGACTCTTCAAGAGGCCTAGAGTGAGTCACACTGCCACGATGGGCCTCAGCCCCTCATAGTGGATGTTAAAAAGGGGCTATGATATCAAGGTTTTTATTAGCACTTTGATATCTCAGGACAGTTCTCCTGAAAGTATACTTCTGGTCTCTTTTTTTTTCCCTCACAAGCAAATCCCCACATTGCATTTTTTTTTTTTTCCAGCACAGAAATAGCTTATTATTAGTGTCATTCAGAAAGAGGTAAAATCTCTCCCTCATGTAACTGGGTGGTTGACAATAGTTTAGGATATTATTCACTGATTCCAGAGATTGAAATACTTCCCTGATGCTAGTCCTTTGCAGGAACCTATACTTGGGAAAGGTTTGGTACACTGAGTCTACAATCCATTTCAACTAATTAGCAGGACAACTTCAGTGGTTTGTCTTTGGCTGTATTATTCTCAACTTAGCCACATGTCACTATTCAAATGTGAATGTGTGTTGTTGCTCTGACAAATTTATAAGTTGCATTATTCTAGCAGACCTACAGTGAACTGGAAACATCTGCTTACACTATCCTAAGAGCCAACAGGCCATTTCCAATTTGGGACCAACAGGACTCCACACAAAAAGAGGTGACTCGTATATATTATCTTCTTGGCATTTGACTTTATTTATTAAAAAAAAAAAGAGCTGTGTTTTAGCCTAGTAATTTAATTTAAACTTCATCAGAGTTTTAGGAGTTAGTCACAACAGCCATTGAATATAGCCTTGGAACATCTCCTTTTTTATGTTTTTACTTCAAATTCATGACCTCAATATATGAATACAATTTTTGTCTGAAGTTCCTGTTAGCTGAGGGGATGAGGCAAGGAAAGTCACACTGTTGTGACTACTGATGCAACCTACTTATGTTTCTAATTACTTGGAAAAGAGCTGTGTGGTGTGAGAAACACTCCTCAGGAACAGGGTATAAGTGGAACAGAGCACTAACCAAACTCTGACTTCAAATAGTTAACTGCTTGTTGGGTGTAAATCTCTCATCTGGGCCTACTGCTAGTGAGTTGTAAAAGCCTTTTGTGTGAGCTTGTCAGTAGTTTTAGGGAAGAAATACAAGGGTCCTTGAAGAAGAAAGAAGCCATTCAACTGAGACTAGGGATACCTGCTGTAACCAGTTCTACTGGTCAGCAGAGATAAACAGGAGAAGAGACTGAACTTGGCCAAAAAAGGTTCCTATGAAGAAGACTCAAGGATGAAGTAAAGGACCCTCATGGACTTAACAAGCATGTGATAATGGCCGGACACTTATGTAAATGATTTCTTGGGAAACTAATGAATATGTAAACTATTTCTTAGAAATATTACACATAATTAAGGATCAGCTGTATATATGTATATGTATCTCTCACCTCACCCTGTAAGGCAGGTACATTTTGGAGGAGCTATCCCCTGTGTCTGGGCACCGTGAATAAAGACTTAACAGTACTTAGGCTGTTGGGTAAACTTTGTTTCATAAGCACTGTTTCCAGAACCTAGCAATTCAAACTGTTAAGACACTTTTCCACCCTTTTCTCTTAAGCATGATGAAGGATAACCCAAAGGAATACTGTGTGGCTCTGCACACACACGGTGCTTCAGACTCCTAGTTAAAAAAGATGGAGCATGGTAAATCTCTTATCTCCACTGAGTCACCTAATTCAAGAAGAAAGGAGTTCAACTGAAAAATATGTTAAAAGTCAACTGGTCAATTTTCTGGCCATCAGAGGCAAGTCTGCACAGGCAGGACCAGGCAGTCACACAGCTGTTCTGTCTTCACCTATGTATGCATTGTCTTCAACTACTCTGGAGTTGGAGGGGGTCACAGAAGTACTGAAAGTCTTACGATCTGTCAGGTTTCTGAAACTCCAGTGTAAAGGCACTTTGGCTCTCACATGAGGGGAGCAAGGACTGAATATTCCTTGCTTGGAAAACAACCTCAGAAAACTGGACCCGCATGACGCCACATGACTTGCATCAGTCAGAAGTGCTACATCTGTTCCTTTTACAAACTCCTGGGACAAATCCAGCAGGTTATGATCTTGTGCTGACCTCATGCAAAATGGGTTTTAATACAGAATTGTCTGTAAAGCATGAAGCAGTGGTGGCAGCTTGCAGTTGTCTTACTGCAAGTTTTCTGGGACTTTTCTTCCTACTGGTCCCATGGCATAGATTGATGTCACTGAGCTGCTCTTGGTTTGAAAGGATGGCCCTCACAAGAATTAAAGCTGATACAACCTCACTTAAGAAGATGTCTGAGGATTGATAGTGGCACTGGCTGGCATATAGCTTAATTCCTTAAATAAAGCTGTGACTAGTGAGGGAGTTACACTTGGAGGATATTTTTGGTAATGTATTCCTTCTATCATTCAGCTGAAAGTTATTAAGCTACTGAAGCATTAGAAGTTTTGGGAGGAAAATTTTTGTAAGTTTTTTGTATGAGTGAAGGATTTAATAAGCAGGATCAGACTTAGGGACAAGTTCAAGAGACTTATCAGCTAAAATCTCATTTAGGCTGAATGGGCTTCAAAGTCTCCTTAGCACTTAAATTTTTACTTTCCGCTTCAGGGCTTTTATGCTAGAAACCACACCACCCTCAAAATTGGTGGTTGTTCAGATTTATTAGTGCAGGAGAGAGACACACTGAAACAGAACAAGTCATTTTTAAGAACTGCATAAAGGCTGTGTTGTCAAACAAGGTGTCTTCTTGCCTAGATGGAGTAGAGCACTTCTCCATGGTGTTTGAAAGACCAGGCAGAAATGGTTTCATGTGTAAGTAACCACTATTGCTAGTAAATGCTTAGTTACTGGAAAGAAAATGGATGAGGAGAACTGGCAACCCTTGCACAGCTGTTTAGGGGAGGAGGAGGCAGAGGTGGTTTGTACGGATGGCCTCTTATATACTGGGGTTGAACAAGGACTTGGCAGCACTCAGCAGCTCTTGAGAAAACCATGCCTGCTGCAGGCTGCATTCGTGTGTCCTCCAAGAAGGTGCAGCCTGTTCACAGCCCTTGTCCTCCCCTCTTTTCTTGCAGTGGTATCACCCTTTTAATCCTGGGGACTCAGTTGCTTTCTGTCTGACATCAGTCTAAAAAATTAAGCAGGTTGGGTTTTTACGATTTCTTCTTTCAAATTGAAATGGTCTAGAGACTTGGGCTGGTTAACTGGAGATGGTAACAAACTCCAGCAGAAGCAATCAAAGAATAACTGGTTATGATAACCTCCAAGCTTGAAAACAGAGATGTAAACATTGACAAAGCCTCCCCTTTTTTCTTAGACCGGTAGGTTTCTGAATCAGTTAACATTGGCAGTCCCAGCGACCACAGCATGGAGTAAAATGTTTGGTTTCTTGCAGTTCTGAGGCATATCTATAATTGGCTATTATACAGCCCTATGCCCTTGATGCTGGCAAAACCTGCAGATTTTCCTATAGACCTAAAAATAAACAGTTAGCATTTCTAAGTGTATCATAAAGCAGAATGCCAAAATGCACACGCTGGTCCTGACACAAGTGAGCTGCTGGAAAACCCATACCAGCATAAATCTCCATCACCTATGAGAAACATCTATACAGCTAGTGTGAAGATTAACTTCAAGCACAGAACCTAAAACACTTTACATGAGTTAATATTATTGTATCTCACAATTTTCTGCATATATAAGATATCATGCCCTGTGGGGGAGAGTTTCAGAAGGGAAGAAAGCCAGCAATACTATTCATTTATTCTTAAAAAATGTCACTAAAATATCACACTGAGAACAAGGCAACGGACATTAATTCTAGAATATTATGCAAAATAGGCAGCAGTGTCATTCCCAAGGGTCAAGGTAGTTTGCTTTTAATTAGCCTGTTAAAGGCAGAAAGCCAGAGGCTTCAGTGATAAGTGGATGTGGGTCTGCAAGATGTGGTAGCAATAATCCAAAGCATGGAGGTACTGGTCTCTTTGAAGGGAAGTTGACATTTTAAAATTATAATGTAGTAGAAACTATGCAAAGAGAGCAGAAAAGGGAATTACTAACAACTTACCTAATGCTGTTCTTGCTGGTGTGGCATCTTTTTTAATCCAAAAGGATACCCAGGAAAGCACAACTGTTAATATACAGGGAATGTATGTTTGAATAGTGAAATATCCCATTCTTCTACTTAAATCGAAGTATATAGTCATGACTACATAATCACCTGCAATAATAAAGAAGAGAAAAAAATATTGACCTTGTGGTTAGATACAGACAGTTGTTGACTGAGCTGCTAAATAAAAATACTGCATATGAAATATTTCTGAGTGATTTGAGAGCATCTGTGCAGCAATGCCTACAAGAAATAGAATTCAAAGAAACCTTTCAATTCTAATTTCCATGAGTTTTAGGTCTCTGTGGAAATGGTGGCCTATTTGGACAGGCAGAAGCTCTCAGTAATCATTCTGGATGAGTAAATTTTTGAAAGACATCTTGGCTTTCCAGACTTGATATTTCTGGGTGGCTCCATGACCACAAATATGAAGCTACTGTTATTCATCAGATTCCATAACCAAGCCACACAAAATCCCACCTTCTGCAAGCTGTGTCTTCCCTGCCCTCATTTCAGGTTTGAGTGACTTGTTATTTTGGGATATGAATCAAGCAGTAGAGGTCTTTATGGCAAGTGTAGCATGCACATGAGTATGACTTTACAAAAGAAGCAATTTATAGACACTAGAGCCTCAGTGCTGTCAGGAGAGGTCAGACTACATGCTTTTAAAGGACTCATCAGTAAAAAATCAAGAGTCTCTTTTTGTCAGCTTTCCTTCATCTCAAAAGCAGTTGTGGTCATTTGTATCTGTAAACTTTCAGAAGGTGAGCCTGGATATGGAGTTTATTATTCTGCTCTGATTCGTAAAATCAAGGATTCAGCAAGAAGGTTAGTTTATCTCACATGATAAAATTTTCTTCACTGTATCACTTTTGCTTACCCTCAAGACTCCACAGGGGATAATAATCTGTCACTCTCTCTCTTCCTGGTAGAGGCTACTGACCTTATCACCTCTTTCCTTACTAACAGCTCCCTCAGCTTCACAGATGTTAACTATCTTTTTCTTTCGGTCACAGTGATTAACAGTAATAAAACTGAACTGAGACTAATTTCTACACTTTGCCTGAAGCATATTTCTTCCATTTCAGATGTGAAGAAGAGTTAATATGCCTGAGAACTTTTATGGGGTCGTGCCTGACTACATCAGACTTGACGGAATAAATTATATTGCTTTTTGTTCCAAATCTGGAATTTCTAGAATGTATTTACAGAAGGCATCATTTGAAACAGGTAGGTAAGTCTGTCCTGTTACAGCAAACCATCAGAACACTGAAGAAATGGAGTTGCTACCCTCAGGTAGCACAGAGGGATTTCTCCCAAAGGAATGTACGTACAAGTCACCCAAGTAGAGGCACAATGGATTAATTAGGAATGAGACAAATTAAAGCTTAATCTTCTAGCAACAGAGACAGCATGTGAACAAAATCATTTAACACGGTGGGTATTTTTACTATAGCTCAGTATTACATAGAAAAGAAATTAATTTAGTAAAAATAAATTCCACTCAAAGAATTTTTGAAGGCCACTTGTCCTGGTTTGAGCCAGAGTGAAGCCAATTTTCCTTTTACTGATTTTTTTTTACTTCAGCAAGCTTTCCTTTAACTAGCACCAGTCAGTTCTAACCAAGGCTGATAAGAGAAGAATGTTTTTCTAACTGCTGGGGCTTCAAGGTCACATCTTCACTCCGCTGGCTCAGACACTACAGGGACATCTCTGACCCCCCAGAGGAAGCTGAGTTAGACAGACAGCAAAACTGGCCAGAGATGTTCCATTCCATATATCTACGTAAGCTCAGAGGAAGGTCAGAGATCACAGAAGACAACTTCCTTCCTTCTTCTTCTTCCCTTCTCTTCCATCCATGGCCGGTGTCTGGGGAGGACTCTGTTCATCCATCACCATCGACCCCCAGGCTCGAGCTCTCCTGACCCTCATCACTCTGTGCTCTCTCTAGCAGCAGCTCCAGGATTCTTTGGGACTGTTCCAGCTGAGGAGATGCTGTGGGAGTTGCTGGGGGTGGGGGGAGGTGAGAGGCTTTTGCACATATCTGAACATATTTGCATATAATTGTATATACATTTTCTTCTATCATTAGCTGTGTAGTTCAGTTTTCAATCCAGCCAAGTCTCTCTCTTTTTCTCTCTCTCCTTCCCTACCTGAGGAGGGGATCGAGTGCATTGTTGTCAGACCTGAGTCAGACAGTGACACCACTGTAAAATGAGTGAGCTACCATCAGCTAAAAAGTCAAAGGTAAATAAAAAGCTGAGGGTGGGATTTTGGGAGACAAAGTTAGAACAATGAGTCAGAAGGAAAAGTTCCTATGTGTTGAGTTCATCATTTTGAGACAGACATATTTGGAAGAGGTTGATAAACCTGTGGGTGCTTTCATCATGCCTCTGCCAGATGAGCACGTACATTTTAATGAGAACTGTGCCCATCTAAAGGCTGTGACCCCAAGAAGCTGGACAGTAATTTCAGAAGCCTTGTGTATTTGTCACAATGGGACAGAGCTTTAATGAAGGAGCTTGCTGCTGTTATGAGTAGGAAGTGTTGCAGTACATCAGGATGTTGTGAGCCTTGTTCACTGCCTAAGGGTTATTTTCATTCCACTAATCTCCAGCACTTTCCTCCATGCAGCACAAGGGAACTGATGTGGATGAGTAACCATTGATTGGCTTATTTTTAGACTACATCAGCTCCCAAATCCAGTTTGCCTCACCAAAGAAAGATTTACAACACAGAAACTGAAGTAATTTCACAGATATGGGATTAAGCAGAGGCTTTGTAAAGTGCTGTTTCTAACAGGCACGAACTACTCAACAAGTTATGATAATGTTTCAAGGATTGTCTGTCACGGCAGAAGAATGAACCAAAAAATTAAATCAAAGCTTGTAGGAAATGTGCCAAGCTCAGTTATTGTATTGAAACGTTCCATTACTCAGTTATTGTATCTAGAACTGTGTGTCTATGAATCAGCTGCTTGAGAATGGCAAAAAGCAAAGCAATCTTCAGATTCGGTGGCCTTATAGCAACTTTCCAGTATCTGAAGGGGGTCTACAAGAAAGCTGTGGTAGGGAGCATAGTGAGAGGACAAAGGGTAATGGTTTGAAGCTTAAAGAGGGGAGATTCAGGTTAGACATTAGGAGAAAGTTCATTCCTGTGAGGGTGGTGAGATGCTGGAACAGGTTGCCCAGGGAGGTCATGGATGGTCTTCAAGACCAGGTTGGATGGGGCTCTGAGCAACCTGATCTAGTGGGAGGTGTCCCTGCCCATGCAGGGGGGTTGGAACTAGATGATCTTTAAGGTCCCTTCCAAACTTTGCCATTCTATGATTCTATGATTGTGATATGTACAATTCAAGTACACACATAGGTCACTGCTCCTCTGAACAGTATCACCATGATAACCAGCACAGTGGACAAGATACCAGATAGAAAGATACTGGCTAGTAAGGCAGAAGTTCCTGCTTCTAAGGTCTTCTACTGAAAGAAGCCTGATAAACAGTGGGAGAACATTATGGAAAAATTATACTGTTTTGCAGACAGAAACTGAGGCAGAGATTAAACAATACAGAGTCCATCATCTTCACACTTAGTCACAAGCTGATTCAGTATCTCTCAGGCAGTATTCATTTTACTTGATTTTAGAGATCTAGAGGTCAGTTCTACAGACCTTCACAGACCTGTACACTGTGACCTCTGTTCTATACTTAAGATAAATTTGTAGTTTTAGCATATAGCTTGTCTAATCTGTTTTAGAGTTTCACTTCAAAAAGAGATGAATGTGCCCAAAACTTTCTCTCCAATGACTAAAAAAGGGGATTGCTCAGCTCGGATGTGGACAGAGACATTGTAGACACTTGCAGATGATCCAAGGAGCCAATCACATCCGTTGAGTCCATGGTGAAAGCTACATCAAGCTGTTTCTATGAGGGTGCTAAGGTTATTTTACTTAAATATTATAACCTTCTTAACCTTTTAAAGGGTATTTTAGCTATTTTCCTCTCTCGTTTTGTGGTTAAACTTGATGCATTCATCCTGAAGGATATGCAAAACTCCTTCTCTGCCTGCTCATCTGCTGGCTGGCTGGCTTCCTTCCTTGCTTCCTTCCCTCCCTTGCTCTTTATTACAACACAATTATTCAATTTCTCTTTATCCCAATTTAAAACCTGTCAAGATACCCCTTCACTGTCAAAAATCCTTCCAGCAAGCTAAAAAAAAAATTAAAAAGAACAATGACTCAGTCAAATTTTACAAGGAGCTGCAAATCAAGTGTCCAACAAAGATCCATAGACATCTAACAAGCATCCAAAGAAAGGGAAATCCTACCATAATGATTAGCTGCATTCATTTCTTTCCTAATCTGTTCTCAGCTCTGAATTCCATACAAAAATTCTCACTATGATGAAGGCTGACCCAGCCACACATGCTGTCCCTTCTGTACTACACTCTTACAGGAATAAGCTGACTGATAAGAAACATGTCAAGAGATGGCATTAGTTCAGTGGCATTAGTGATGCAAAGTGGGAGTAAGAGGAAAATTTGCTGGTTCTCCTACAGTACTCGTTAGAGAGGACACAGTTTATAGGTTACAAACACTGATGACACTACTCAGTGAATTGCCACTGCTGAAATGAAATGCAGAGCCTCAGCTGGAAGCACCAATGTTGAAGGCAAGCATGTTTCTGTACAACATGTACTGGACGCCTTTTTCTTTAATAGCTACAGTAAATTACAATTTTCAACTAAATTACTATTTCAGTTCTTCTGCTCTCAGCCAAGTAGACTTCTGTTGAGACTCCTGAATTGTCTCTTTGCATCCAGAAGAGCCAGGATGCATGTGCTATGCCTGCTTTCCTCAATGCACTACTTCAGACTGCATTCTTCTTATTATTATAGTCTCAATTACTCCTTCCAGAAGTGATCATTCTCTATGTACCTAAAAGCACTTGTCTGCAGCTGCAAGGAAAGTACCCATAGTACATACATTTCTGACTTTCTCTATAGACACATGATAATAATTTGTACAAAGAAACTCTCCTTTCTTCTAAAAAAACCTGACCTACAATTCATTCTGTATGTCCTGAAGGCACGAGTAAAGAGCTCAAAGGATAG